ACCTCGACCGACCACCAACCGCCGGAGTGGGTGGGATGAGACCAGCGTCCACTTCTTCCGGGTTCGGTTGGGACCGAAACCCAATACAGGAGCCCCACCGCCAAGATCAGGCAGCCCAGCTGAGCTCGTACCCTCGGGAGACGGAGGACCCTCCACCGTCTTACCTGGAGGCAACCCGAGGCCGAGCTCAATACCGGGAAAGATCGGAGAGGGAGAGGCCGACGGCTGACACCGAGGCTATACCCCGCACCGGACCCCCCGTTTCATCTGCTAAACTATCGGCGGAGAAGCGGGCGAGGGAGCTGCTCCGGAGGTCCCATAACCATAGGACCTCCGATGACGAGGTCGACGCGGACCTACGCCTGAAAGAGCTCCAACAACTCCAGCGCGCTCTCCAAAAGATAGAAGAAATGGAGAGGCGCGATCGCTCCCGCAGGCTTGGGTATCATTAGCCACCAGTGAGCCACCAGTTTTATTTTTTCTTTCTTTTCTTGTTTTGGTTGTTTTTAATTTTTTTTAATTTCTTTTATTTTCTTTCCTCTTATTTTTCTTTTTTTTTTGTTGTTGGCCACAATAAACGCCAGGGCCAAGCCCTGGCTTAAACTGACTGACCTGCGTCTTAATTGAATTACTAACCTCCTCTGACCAATCCTTACCGACTCAGCAAATGAACTTAAGGGACCAAAGGAGAATGGAGGATGCAGTCAAGCAGACCAAGCAGATACCGGGCTCTGACCAGGACAGATCACGGAATCAAAGGGGGAAAACCCCACCAGGTAAGATTTCTGTATAACTGACGAGAACTGAGAACGCGGCGGCAAATAAAAAGGAACAAAGCAAACTAGCGGTACACGTGGTAGTGTACCGGCTTAATGGGGGATTCTGTAATGCGGTACATTACAAGGCCTTTCCTGAGCGTTGCATTATTTGCAACACCTCAGGAAAGCCATTCCCGTCCCTTACCGCCCCGTAACCAGTTGCATAAAATGTAAATAATAAACGCGCACTAAAACAAACAATTAACCCTTTTCATGCCCGAATACCACAACCGGAAATATTGACCCAAAATAAGCGACGAACGCGATCCGACGGACACTCAAAAGAGAAAAAAAGGAGCGCACCACGAAATAAGACAGCGCACGCACACACTCACTCACGACCACGTGTTGCCGACCGGCGAAAGAAAAACGGAAAACTTCACTGGGAAATGCAGGGGAAATGCATGTTGATGACACATGCAGATCCGTTACACTCCCAGGCACCAACACCAACACTCACAGAAAACTGACACCTCTGGGGCGAGCAGAAAATCGCCGATGAAGTGGCAGCCGGCAATCAGCTGGGTCGGGCTGCCGAACACCAGCGGTGAGATCCTGAGCGCCACACACACTCACAACGGTAACCACACACAAATACCCGGGAACACGTCACTTAACCGACACGGGAGCGCCCCAGGAGGCGCTCCAACGACCATTACGGGAACACAAGGTGTACACGCGAAACCGAGCTGCCATTTTGAAGCGCCGAGGTGAACTGAGCAAGAGCGAGCGAGACAGAGCGAGCGAGATAGACTAAATAAGAGCGAGCGAGACAGGCTGAGAGCGAGCGAACGAGACAGAGCGAGCGAAATAGACTAAACAAGAGCGAGCGAGACAGATTATATGAAATGATGAATAGAATCATATGTAAATGCGAAGATGGGGGCGCTATAATTGAAAGGACGTACATTATATATGTATTCACAACGAATTAAAATTAAAATTATAATTAGAAAATGAACATGAAAAAAAATACCGAATTATAAAAATTCGCATGCGACCGACACACCCCCTATTATAATAGCGAGCGACAAATACCCCGTTAAATTTAATCAATAAATTAACCGACAGAATTCGAACCTCTGACGAAATTCGCTGGTGACGTCACGACCAATAAGCGAATTAGAATAAAATTTGATTTCCGTCCGAATAGAAAAATAGATAAGAGTAGGGGTAGATCTTTCCTATTAATTAATGATAGCTATCTTAGTGGGGGGTGAGATAGGGTAAATAACGACGAAAGTAGGAGAGTTAAGGAGGGCGCTGTATCCTTCTAATTTACATACGGACCAATGATAAAATATTCGGAGGGCGCTACCGATATCCGAATTAGTATACCGACCAATAATAACATTTCTTCTCGGAAAGAGGAGAAGAAAAGCGATCTTTGACCACGAAAAGCCGATTCTCGTCCATTTTGCCGCTGTTCTTCTAGCCAGAAGGAGTGCTTGCGCCAGATACTCTCGTCACGCAGGATTAATTGCGTTAGACACCTTCTTTTCACGCTAATTTCGTTCGCCGAATCTCAGCAAGGAAAACCGTAAGTAGGCAAAGTGCCACTCATTAGTATTAATCGCGGAGTGCGGAAGTGGATTTTTCGGTGTAGTAGGTCGTCGCGACGTGTCGATCCGTCGATGCCGGTGCCTATTGAATCGCGCTGATCTTTCCGCCATTTCGTAGAATCGAACGTGAGTATTAGGATCATACGGATTAATAGCAGTGATTAATTTATTCGCGCTGACCTTTCGCCAATATAGTAGTTATTGCGAATATAGAATTAGACAAATAAAATCATTGATCCTATTAATCGCGCTGACCTGTCCGCTATTTAGCAGAATCGAACGTGAGTGTTAGGATCAGACAAAGAAAACTCGTGATTTAAGATATTCGCGCTGACCTTTCGCCAAATTAATAATCTATTGCGAATATTGAAAGTAGACGAATTAAGACTCGTTATTTACTTATTCGCGCTGACCTTTCGCCCGTATAGTAATTTATTGCGAATATTGGAAGTAGGTGAATTAAAATTCGTGATTTAATTATTTGCGCTGACCATTCCACCATTTTTGTCAATCAAAGACCGACCGGAAGAATATTAGTATTTCGATTATTTCGTGTCTTTGCTATTTCATAACTATGCAGAGTCATACTGACCCTAATCAATCCGACCACTTGCTTATGAATTAATAAATACGTCAATAAAAGTGATTAATTGTCTTTATATAAAATTTACTTTTGTTACCCTGCCTCATTTGCATGCTGATGATTTTCAGCCGCGAGCGGTTATAATCGGGTAACGCTGATTCGCTATATTTTCGGACCCCACGATAGGTAACATACGCGCGAATTCGAACGGACTTTCGACCTGAAATAAGGAGTCATCATCTGAGCTGCCAGCATATCATAAGCGAGGAGACAAATAGGAAACGACTTGTTGGATACCGAGGCCTGGAGAAGAGGAGATCGCGAGTACTTACCCGTTTGCCCATCCGGCGCAGTCGCCGTGAAGGCAAACCGGGATACGCGATCCCGTTAGGCCCTATCCCCGACGATCGCCCTAGTCAAACGGCGGTCTGGCGCCCTAAATAATCGGGGATAAGGAGTCAACCAGGCCTTGTGGCGGAAGAGCTTCGGTAGCGCGGTTAAGACTCCCGAAATCCCCCGCCACAATTGTAATCACACAAGTGCTGTCATGTAACCCGTGCTGTTTCTCGGTGTAAATTCCTAATGTATACTTTGTTTCGCTGGTTTTTTTGAATTTTTCTATGCGCAGGTGGTTTGTGTTCGGTTATGCTTATTACTGCTAACTCAGATATGCCAGTAGTAGGAATGTAGTCTCTTACTATTATCTATATTAATGGATTCGTAGAACGTTTTCGTCTCCACTTTTGTACTAAAATGTTCAAGTGTACGAATTTCGGTGCACCCCAAGTATTACAGACAATTTAATATTAATAAAAATAATACCTCTAAGTTTTTCTGAGGATACTACGAATCCTCGATCATGAGTATACTATGAAAAACTAAAGCGGTGGAATAAATTAGAACTCAAAGATCCTGCTAAAGTTTCAGAAACTTTCTCTTATTTACACTAGTCATGTAATTTAGATATTTTTACAGTTATTTACAGTTATTATAGTTATACCCGTCACTCATCTAAATTAATTATTAAAATTAATTCTATCCATAGATTTCGGTCATATCAAACACCCCCCTTACCCCAGCCAGCAAAGTGTAGTGGACAGTGAAAAAAAAAATACCATTCGAAATAACTAATTAAACCCTCCAAAAATACTCATTATTTTAATTAAACCCCTACAGTTGTCCCAAAAAAATTGAAAACTATAATTTTTTAGTTTTTTGCAACTGCGATATCTTTAGTAATACATAGTATTTTTGTAAAGTAACAAGGCCAAAAAATTGAACCCTTGCTCGTTTTAATTGCATCCCTCTTACTTTTTCAAAATTATTAATATATATGTCAAAAACAACAATCTAATTTTATTGTATGTTCTTTCCAAATAACCCAATAACCCAATAATCTATTTAGAAAGAACATTCAATAAAATTAGATTGTTGTTTTTGACATATATATTAATAATTTTGAAAAAGTAAGAGGGATGCAATTAAAACGAGCAAGGGTTCAATTTTTTGGCCTTGTTTCTTTACAAAAATATTAAGTATTATTAAATATATCGCAGTTGCTAAAAACGAAAAAATTATCATAGTTTTTAATTTTTGTTAGGACAACTGAAGGGGTTCAATTAAAATAATGAGCATTTTTTGAGGGTTTAATTAGAGATATTTCAAATGGTATTTTTCATTTTCATTGTCCATTACACTTTGCTGGCTGCGGCAAGGGGGTACATCAAACACTTTTTAATAATTTTGTTTCAATTCACAACTATTACACTATAGTATATACAATGATTCATCGTTGGCTCGAATGAAAATTTAATTATCATTATTAATTTCTTAATCAAAAATTTATATAGGAGCAATTTGATATTTTTGGAAACCTTTTACAAGCAATCATTGGAGTTATAGAAAATTAATATTTACTAAAAGTGTTTGCCAATTATTTTTGTCTAATTTTGACTACTGAGCTTTGTGTCTGCTTATAAAATCTTAAATTTTACATGTGTAACTGCCTTAATGCAGTGGACAAATGTAATGGCTGTCTGTTCTTGATGTAAACGCTGTAGAACTGCATCCCTTCGCTAGATAAAGAAATGTCTGTTATATTTATTTTCAAGTTATATCTAATACTACATACGTAAAGTCGGAACAAAGTATCATCATCTATATTGATATAAAGCTAATGAGCATATCTACAGTCAGGTATAACACTGGCCTGACTACGTAGTGCAGCCATGTTTAATAAGCGTGCTTTCTACAGGAGTCATTTGCTCAATATCTACTGAATCTACTTATGAGGACTTTTATTGAGATCTAAGTCTTTCTCTAATACAAATTTTATAAAGTAAGTTTTAAATACATAATTCTAACAATCATGTTTGTTTAGCGAATTAAAATAAATATCAGTTATTGATGCTTTATTGATACGTGACCAATTAATATTGTATTTGTATGTTTGTTTTGATTAAAATTCGTTATAGTTACAAAATAATTATTTATATGGAGATTTTAATGTAATTTTAGTATAATATTCATTAGACTAATACTTTTGCTATAGGTAAATACTTATATACTTGTTTATTTTATATTGTAACATTTTTCATTAATTAAATTTTGAGATAAAAGTTTCAATTTTACTAAATAACAATTGTAGATTTTTGAATTATTTCACTAAACCGCTGTTAATATAATAAATATTGTATTCAATACAATAAGGATGTAGTAAGTAGTTGTCTGTCAATTGATTATTATGTAATATTAGATCACAAATTGTATTTTATTAAGAATTTGTAAGCTTTAACGACTTTTCTTTTTTATTTTATTTAATTTTGTTGTTTTATAAATGCACAATGTAGAACCTAGGATCCACATAATAAACACATTCTTAAAGATAGCATTACTTTATAATCATATTAATGAATAAATGAATAATATTAAGAATTTATTATATAACTTTTTAAATTTTAACTGTTAGTTAAATAAACATTAAGAATATTTGATATGTAATATTATTAATGAATATAACAAATTTTGTTCAATAGTGAGATTTGATCATTGAATAGTCAATTTATTCATTACCATTACAGTTCTATGTACGTTATGAGAAATTTATAAATTTTAAATTTTATAATTTTAAGATTGTTTTTTCGAGATAGTTATTCTAATATCTGACATCAGAAGGTTTACCTAATTTTGTAAGTTACAATATATAATAAGAATACACGTTGGCTTGTAATTTAAAATGAATTGCATTGTAGCGTAGTTATATAAATAATAATAAAATAGTATATTTTTTAGGTTATAATATGTTTAATAATATTCATTAAAAATTAATGAAATAATTGCATTTACTATGTATTGGACTAAATAATCTAGTACATGATTTGCTGTGTTTTATTATCAGATATTTAATGTATAAAAAAATAATATAAAATAAACTATTCTCTTGTTTAGAAACATTTTCAGTGGTAAATATTAATTGATTGGTATCGATCTTTAGTAATTTGTTATAAATAATGACAAATAATTGTTGATAAATCTCAGAACTAAAATGGTGTATCGTGCTTATAAATGATATTAAAAATATATATAAAATATAAAAAAATAATAATAAATAATATACATATATAAATAGTATAAATAAATAATAAATATATAATAAATTATAAATTAATAATAAAATGATGTATCATGCTTATAAATAATGTAAAATAATATTTATAAATAATATTTTGTCAGTAAACTAATGATTATTTTTGATTTAATGTTTTAACCTTTTGTATAAACAAGTCACTAACAATTACTATAAATTAATTGATGTTTTTTGTTCTTTTATTTTCTTATTTAAAATAGAAGTTTATTTAGTAGTATTTTTCTGAATGTAAAAAAAATATAATCTATAAATAAAGGAACATTTAATTTTATTATTTCTTTTACCAGCTTTGATAAATAGATATTTTACTGAAAAAAAATATTAAAGTAATGAAGCAGGTTATATAGTGTAAGCATTCATCTTCTAAATAAAACATTTATGAGTTAGGAAAATAAAAATAAATTATCATGTATTATATTTTGTCAGTAAGATTCTTAAGGAAAAGTCATGAAAATGACTGAATCTTTTAATCTGATTAACATAATATTTTTATATATCTAAATTAAATTACATAAAGGTAAACTTATTTCATTAACATTAAAATAACAGTAGATGGAATTTAAATCATTTCTTAATGGGTATGCTCACACTGAGTCATATTGTTTGAAGTATATTCATTTTTTATTATTTGAAGACAAAGAATAATTCATTATAGATTTAATAGAACTATAAAATTTGGATGCATATAAATATGTTGATATGTATTCGATTGCTTTAAAAAATTATTAAACTGTAAACTAAGAAACTTAAACTTTTAAATAAATTATTTTAAGAAAATAAATTTAATTGAATGATAGTGAATTGATAACCCCATCAGAAATAATTTATGCGTAAAATTATAATGTGTCGAATTCAATAGTTTGCTAACAGTTTTTTACAATTTATAACTGTTTATGAATATCAGATTTTAGATACATATAACAATTACCAAGAGTTATTTTCTGTTAAAAGAATATTTTCATCAATTAATAACAGTTTTTTTTAGTTACCAACAGTTATTTTGCATTTTTATTCATTGAAACAAATTTATTTTGAGAAATAATCAATGCAAATAACTATAAATAACTAAAATTAAAAGTTATCACCCATTATCTATTGGAATAAAAAATTAGTAACTATTATTTCTAATTGATTGTAATTATTAATTTGCCACTACCAGACACAAAAAAAGTACTTATAGCCAAAAAAAATTAAATGTTAGTAACAATATATAAATATTTGAAATAATTCTTAATTGTCACATATGCTAACTAGTATTGATTACAGTTGTAAACTATTATTTACATTTTTGAAATGTATTTAAGAACTGTTCCTAATTGCTATTAATAGCAAATTTTTTATGAAAAAAGCTGTATTTACAAAATTATTTGTAACTATTAATAAATTTATAACTGTTAATTATTACTGATAGAAAAAAACTTATAATAACTGTTATATGTGTTAAAAATCTGACGTTTATAAACTATTTTAAACTGCAAATAACTGCGTGCAACAGTTTTACGTAAAAATTATTTCCAACAATCTTTTTTTGAAACTTTTGAAATCAATGATACAATTTGATATTTTTTTTTACGTATTAATAGAAAGTAACATTATACTCGATATTGATACAATATTTACGAACATGGCTGTTACACCAATAAACAATATCATTTTTTGCAAATAAAAAATAACATATTCATAATGATAAGAGTAACTCGATAACTGTTGAGTGTGAAATAAAAGTATGTTTATATTTGAATTTCTTGAGATTCGCTAAATCAAATTTAGAAAAACGTTCAAATTAATTGATAGAATATGAAGAAAAGTCAATGCAAAGAGCGAGCAGTAATTTTGAATTTATTATAAGCCAATTGACTTTTTTGTCGTTGTGCCGACTTCCCCCACCACTGCAACTCTAACCATAAAGAGCGGATATCACGTGAGTTCGCTTGTCTTTTTCATGTAATTTCACAATAACTGTATGTGTGACGTATTTGTTATTAAAAGATATATGAAGTATTCGATTAAACGAATACGATGGTGCCTTTTTTCGCGAAGTCGTTGCTTGATAGCCTAGTATAGTTACTAGACTTTGGCATTTAATAACTCTATATAAAATAATTAAAACTCAACTTTTGATGAATTAAAAGTTACTTTTTCCGAAGTACTTCACAATGCACTTTTTAGATATTTATTCAAGCAATCGACCGCGGAAATATTCTATTTGTTATTTACGTAATAATCGGAGTTTTTATTTCAAAAATCGTGCGAGTTGATTAATATTAAAAAAGTGTCTATTAAATCACGGAATATGGTAGTTTGAACTTTGAAGTTTACATAAGAAAATCATGACAAGTGTCAATGGCTTATTACCAAAGTAGTGTTAATGCAATAAAGTTTCTCAAATTTAGACTTTTTTAATGAACTAATGCAATAACTCGGTAACTAAATAGAATATCGAATGGATTTTTTATGGTTATATTTGTAAAAGATTGAAGTTTTTAAAAAGTTAATCATCATTGAGGTCCATTGATATTGTGAACTGCAATTCCGGATACAAAAATTAGCTATTTTTTCGTGTCTTCTTTTATATTTTGTGACTACAGCCGAGGAAAATGGAATTTTACGACTTGGAACCATGGCATTTTGTTGACAATTGCATGCTCTACAACATTATCTCTATGCATTTTTCTCGTTTGCTGCATGCTTTACAAGTGAAATAAGAAAATGTGTCAAAAACGCACCGGGAAATTCGAGATGCAAACTATGGTACGCTAATTACTACGATATTTCTAAACGATTCCATCAATAAAATTCCTTCACATTCGTGATTTCGATTTTTTCTGCTAATTTTACCGAACTAATAGTAGAATAAATACTGTTCATGGATCTCACTCTTCGCAAAAATACTTTCACAAGATTGATTAGAAGAAAACCATAGCAATAATAAATGTGGACATTTCTCGTCTTTTAAATTAAAAATAATATTAATCAGTTCATAAACATTTATTTCCATAGAAATGTATATATTTAATATAATAAAATTTTTGGTTAATGAATAGTCAGACTTATTTAACGAAACTTTTCAAAATCTTGAAACAAAAATGCAAAACCCTACGTTATACATACATAACCTTACGTTATACACTTTCTAATAGATCTAAATTTTTATTCAAGAATACTTTCGAAAATAATTAATATTTTGTAAATAAAGTATAGTGCCATTGAAGCAAGAATCGGAGCTTCCGAAAACTCCAATAATTAATAATATTAATAAAAATATGTTAACTAATATGATGAATGAAAGTTTTAAGAATAAATAACATTTTGGTTTCTAAATTTTAATTAAATAAAAACATTAAAAAAAATAAAATTAATTCGGTATAATGTAAAAACTGTCATCGTTTCCGTTTTTATAACATACAGGATATATAGGAATCATAATAGGCAAATCATTCTCTTTTATAATTCTATCAAGCTGATCATTTCTTTTAGCAACGTATGTATGTAAATGAGAGTTCAAATAAATTTCTTTATATCCATGAATTTGAAAATACGTTATATCGCTAATGTTTTGAATTTTGTTAATTCTTCCGGAAATAATTTCGCTCTCTTCGACGTTTACAATTATAAAAGATTCTTTTTTATAATTATATTCATCACTTTGCCTATTAAAAGGAAATGAAGTACTCTTCTCGATGTTTGTTTTA